TCGGGACTCATCCCAACACCCAACCAACTGAGCCACCCAGGAGCCCCTCTAATTACTTTTAAAGTACTGATTAGCCTTTACTTTTGGCACAATACACCTTAACCCAGACTAACCAATAGGTTTAAATATGCCTGCTCAGATAATCTCTGTAATAACTGCATTCAATAGACTGGCTCTGCACTAAAATGACAAAAACAGACAACCCAAGTAGAAAGACATTGAGACTAACAGGTGAAACTAATTATCATAGGGAAAACTAGAGATCTGAACAAATTACAGCATTAACTCTCTTAGAATGACCTAACTCTGAATTTTTGTCTTAATTTCTTTGAGAGAGGAAACGCACAAGCAGGAGGGGTAGAGGGAGAGGAAGAAAGAATCTCAAGCATACCCTGAACTGAGTTAGGAGCCCAATGGGGCTCCACCTCATGACCCCGAGATCACAACCTAAGCCGAAACCAAGAATCAGACACTCAACTGACTGCGCCTCCCAAGAGCCCCTGCAGCTACTTTTAAAAAAGTCTTTTAGGGGCACCTGCGTGGTGCAGTGGGTTGAGCATCCAACTCTTGGTTTCGGCTCAGGTTGCAGTCTCAGGGTCCTGGGATTGAGGCCCACGTTGGGCTCCGCACTCGGTGTGGAGTCTGCTTGATATTCGCTCTCCCTCTGCCCCTCCCACTCATGCTGTCTCTCTCTCTCTCTCAAATAAATGAATAAAATCTTAAAAAAAAAAAAAGTCTTTTAAAAATTCAAAAGTAGCTGCATAGGCTAAATAAAAGCCGGTGAGACTACTTAATCATAATTGGCCTTTCCAGTCCTATGGAAAACATACATTCTCAGAAATAAATTCTATCAAAAAACATTATAGGGGAAAAAAAGCTTAAATTCCCCTCAAATATTTGAAAAGACCATCTGAACAGTGATAAATTCAATGAAACTAGTTAACTGGAAGCAGTTACAAATGCTATTTCAGAAAATTCATACAGAATTTAGTTGATCAATTAAACAGTGCAGACCAGGGTTTCTCAACCTCGGCACTGCTGGATAACTCTTTGTTGTGGGGAGCTAGCCTGTTCATTGTAGGATATTTAGCAGCAACTCTGGCCTCTACCCACTAGATACCGGTAGTGCTACCTCCTGGTTGTAAGACCCAAAAACGTCTGCAGATATTGCTAAATGTCCCACCGCAGCAAAATCACCCTGGGTTAAGAACCACTTACGGCAGAGCCAGCCCCAGTGCTCATCTTTACAATTCAGAGTTCCAGAAAGCAAATTAACTAGTTTCAGAAACATTTCACCAAGTAGAGTGAATGACTCAGGTTAAAGTTATGACCCGAGTTTTCCAGTTTCCTTTTAAAACACATTCACTAAAGGGCAAGAACAACACACCCAAAAACAGAAGCATACCATTTCATGCCTTGTTCTCGCTGGCAGTCTTCAAAGTTCCTAATTCAGGCAAGGCCAGAGAAAACACATCATCATACATGTCGGTAAGCCCTCAGCCAACTCAAAGGGCTGGGTGTGGTTCCATTCCGCTGATGGGGGGGGGAGTGCTTTTATATAGTCTATTTTGTCTTAAGGCAGTAAATATACTGGTAGATACAGACACTTTTAAAGTTGTTTCAATAAAAATACTACTTATGCCCAACAGAAGAGAATACTGGGGGAAATTTACATTAGAATCAATTAAAGGGTTTAAGAGGAAACTTTTTCTCAATTCATCTGTCATAAGAAATCTTTATACTTTAGCACAGAATGCTGAACAAAACCATATTTTGTCAATTTTGTAGTGCTTTATGGATTTATAAAGACCAATTATGACTAAACAGTACTTAAGATTCAGAAATGCAGAGACTAGGTTGAATCTAAAAATTATGCCAGGCTATGCTATAGAAAAAAAATTATTTTTAATAGAATGAGTTCAATATTCATCTTATTTGACTCAGCCCTAAAAATAAAAAATCACCAAAATCAGGGCGACTGGGTGGCTCAGTCGGTTAAGCACCTGCCTTCGGATCAGGTCCTGATCCCAGAGTCCTGGGATCCAGCCCCGCATCGCATCGGGCTCCCTGCTCAGCAGGAAGCCTGCTTCTCCCTCTCCCACTCCCCCTGCTTATGTTCCTTCTCTCACTGTGTCTGTCAAATAAATAGATAAAATCTTTAAAAAAAAAATTCACCAAAATCATTTTGGTTACCTGAAGGTTTTGTGTTCCAGATGAATAGGCTTTCTTCTTTTTTTTTTTTTTTTTAAACCAGGCGAAAGCGCAAACGCAGTTAATTGGCAATATTTGACTTGGATTCCTTATGATTTCAAGACATAAATACAGTTAATCTACTTTGTTTTTTCACCGACTATACCAGTAAAGTCTATTTCCTAACTTGTAATATACTTTAGCTGTGAAATATAACAACAAATTCTATCAAAATACATGCTAATAAAAAGCATTCTTTTTTTTTTTTTTTAATTTATTTGAGAGAGAGAGAGAGATTAACAGCATGAGAGGGGAGAGGGTCAGAGGGAGAAGCAGGCTCCCCGCTGAGCCGGGAGCCCGATGTGGGACTCGATCCCAGGACTCCGGGACCATGACCTTAGCCGAAGGCAGTCGCTTAACCAACTGAGCCACCCAGGCGCCCTAATAAAAAGCATTCTTTACAAATTTGCAAAGAGCATCAACTTCTCAATACACTGATATTATAAATTAGACTTCCTATTAAGTAGCAAATCAATTCAAATGTAAGCAACCACCTATAGAGAAATTTTATTATATTAGTATGCAAATCAGAATTACTCAATGTTTGTTTGTTTGTTTGTTTTTTAAAGATTTTATTTATTTGACAGTGAGAGATACAGCGAGAAAGGGAACACAAGCAGGGGGAGTGGGAGAGGGAGAAGCAGGCTTCCCGCGGAGCAGGGAGCCCGATGCGGGGCTCGATCCCAGGACCCTGGGATCATGACCTGAGCCGAAGGCAGACGCTTAACGACTGAGCCACCCAGGCGCCCCCTCAATGTTCTTTTTTTAACTGTTGCCTGGCCCCTCAACAGATTAAATCAGAATCTGTGGGTCCCATGCACTGTCAGGTTTAAAATACCGCAGGATATTCTTTTTTTTTTTTTTAATGTTGTCTACTCCTTTACTGTTATCTCCCCCACTAAAAATATGGAACGCTTCACGAATTTGCGTGTCATCCTTGCGCAGGGGCCATGCTAATCTTCTCTGTATCGTTCCAATTTTAGTATATGTGCTGCCGAAGCGAGCACACCGCAGGTTATTCTAATCATGCAGCAGAATGGAGATCCACAACCCAACTAAAGGGTTTTTTTCCTTTAAATAAAAGCTTTCCCCTCACTTTTCCCCCTTGATGTTTTTTTAAAGAATAAACTCCCAAAACCTCAAGATAACTTGGGAAAATGTTTTAAAATTCAGATAACTTTAAAATGCAGCTGTGTTATTTGAACAATTTCTCAGTTCACAAGGCCATAGACACTTTAACAGGCATGCCTAGTCATTATAGGCAAATTCTAGTTCTCAACAAGTTCACACAACCTGGGGTTCCCTATTTCATTGGAATCTTAATATGTAGCCAAACTGTTAAGTGACCTAGCACTGGGGGCTGGGGGAGGTAGAGAAAACTTTAATTTCTTGCTTCTTACAATTCTCTATTATCTCATTTTAAATTAGTGTGCATCTATCCTTTATTCTAAGATTTAGAAATCATAAAAATGAAAAACATACCTGCTCCACCATAGAACACCAATTTCAAAAAGCCTATTCTACACTATTGAGTGAAAACTACAAAAAGTATGCTAGTACACATTATTTATCCTTTGTTGTCATTTTTCCTAATTTCACGATTACTCCAATGAGATAGTAATTGGTAGCTAATAAAACAATGTGCTGTACTAGTGTTAATTCTTCATTATATAGAGATCCTTTTCATCCAAGCCTTTCCTTTACAGGTGGTAAAGCAGAAACAGGGATTTCTAGACTACAAGCTAGTTTCTGTGGAAAGTGAAAAAAAAAAAAAAAGCACTAATTTGAATTTCAGTTCACTGCAATACTGAACACTTGACGTGGATTAAAACCACGTAGGTTTTTGCTTCTCCAAAGGCAAGCCAAAATGTGAAACTGCGTTTTTCGTCCGTTAGTTCTTTTCTCCCTTTCACAAAACATCCCACCCAACTTCGTATTCAAATTTGAGGGCTGGGATTTATCTATTAAGATTCTTCAATGTTCTTTTCTTTTTTTGCTTTTAGATTTCGCACGTGAAACTCCTGGCGATTTCAAGAGCACACACATTAATCAAGAATAAAGCCAGATAAAATGACAGATGAAGTATCCTTCAATTTTTGATGAATCTCTACTTAATTTTTAATTCTTTCACCATTTTTTATGTCTTCAAGGAAGCAAGAGAACAACGTACTAAAAACTTCCTAAAAAAGCAATTTAGGCCACATTCTTTTATCTCGTTTATACAAAGAAGTGTGGGCTTAAAATCAACCTTCCTAATGCTTGTCAGCGCCTCGAGGTCGTGAGGATAAAAATTAAGCTTCCAACTCCGAAACGCTTCGCAGCCGTCCAGCGCTTTGTCAAAGACTGACAGTAAAGCATCTACGTTCCCGGTTCCCGGCCCGCGACCCTGCGAAGCGCCAGGCAAGGAGGGAGCCGCAGCCCCGGAGCGCGCGGCTCGGTCAGGGCGGGGCCGGCACGCCGCCCGTCCCCCGGCCTAGCGCACTGCCGGCCTCCCGCGAGCGCAGGGCCCGACCGCCGACGGCTGCCGCTCCCTCGGGAGCCGCGGGAAGCGCCGCCCGCGCCCGACCGGCCAGGCCTCACGAAGAGCCCCCAGCCCCGAATTCGCGGGCCGAGGGTACCCCGGCGAGGGGCGCAGGGTCCCAGCCCTGGGACGAGGAACGGGCGGCGGTGCGGGCGTTCTCCTCGGGGCTACAGCCGGGAGGGCGGCGGAAGGGCCACGGAGCGGGCCCGGGGAAAATTGGGAGCCTCACCTGCTCCTCCCGAGGCAGCCGCTACCGCTCGCTGAGGGGACAACATGGAGCCTCCGCCTTCAGCAGAAGCAGCAGGGGCGCAGAGAGGGATGGGCTGAGTCGTGAACGAACCGGGCCCAGGAGGTGGGAAACGGGCGGGGCCTGGGCTCTAGAAGAAACTGGGTAGGAGGTGGGGCTCGCAGAGCTTCGAGGGAACGAACACAGGGCGGGTCTGCGAGGCCGGACGGACCGCGCTACTCGCGGCGGGCGCTGGGCGGGCAGCGGCAGGAAGATGCACGCGGCCAAATCCCGCCACCGCCCAACGCGTGTGCTCCTGCGCGCGAGCGAGCCGCCGGCTACCTGGGACTGCGCACTAGGGAAGGCGGTCCGCTGGGAATTGTAGTCCCAAACTCTCTGGGTGCCCCCTCCTGCCGTCCCTATTCTGCGCACTCATCCGGGGCGGAGAGGAAACGGAAGAGAGGGAAGGGGCTTGGCGCGTCTCTTCGACGACTAAACTACAACTCCCAGCAGGCCATGCGGGGAAGGGAGGGGCGGGCCGGCTCAGGCCGGGGTCGGCCGGCCAGCCAGCCCCGCCGAGATCCTAGTCTTGAGACCCGCCCCGGGGCGGAGGACTTGGGATAACCCGCTGCTAGGCCCTGTCTGCCGCGTTTGACAGTTTCAGTGCTTAAGGACCAAAGGACCAAAGGGAGGCCTCAAACCTGGATGACGTGAGCGTCACTGGATTTTTAACGATTTTGACTTCACAAGGAGATGACGTGACTTCATCACCACCATCATCAGTTTCACCCCATAATCGCATGCCTGGCCAAGCCAAGTGGTGGACCATCACCACCACCCTTAACAGCTAAGAACTTCCAGGGAAACTCCTTCCACAGGCTCTGTCCAGCCTAAGCCATGGCCATGTTTTGTAAATGTCGGGTTTACAGGGCTTGCTTTGAAGCTCCTTTTTTTTTTTTTTTTTTTAAGATTTTATTTATTTATTTGAGAGAGAGAGAAAGCATGAGGTGGGGAGGGTCAGAGGGAGAAGCAGACTCCTCGCTGAGCAAGAGCCCGATGCGGGACTCGATCCCGAGACTCCAGAATCATGACCTGAGCCGAAGGCAGTCGCTCAACCGACTGAGCCACCCAGGCGCCCGAAGCTCCTTTTGCAAGCTCACCCTACTTAAACTGTGTGTTAGGTCAATACAAAACAAGGTTCTCCGAAAATGCTTTTTATTCACACTTCACGTGTGATTAAGAAAATGTCAGTTGTGAAGAGTCTTGTTAGTTTGGATTTGTTGGGGGTAAGGGCAGTTATTGGAGATAAGCAGCTGGTGGAGCTTATGGGAGGCTAAAGCATCCATCCATCCCATCAGCACCACCTTTTGGCATCACCATTCCCTCATTCATTAGACAAATTATTATACTTTCTTCTGCCTCTAACTTTTTTTTAAGCTTGTTTGTTTGTTTTTAAGTAATCTCTACACCCAACGGTGGGGCTCGAATCCACCAGAAGATCAAGAGCTGCATGCTCCTCTGACTGAGCCAACAAGACGCCCCACTTCTGCCTCTGCCTTAACTGTTATAATCCGCCCAGAACCTCCTTCCAGCCACCTCCAGGCCCTGCCAAGCCTTTGAGCTGTTTTTTTTTTTTTCTTACTTCCTGAGTGATTAGAACAGAGGAGAAGAGAGAGGTAATTTTGCCTAATCTTATCTAAAGAAATCCTGTTTTGATTTCTTTCCCTCTGCCTTCTTATTCTCCCCAAACTCTCAAGATTACTTGAATACCCTCCTCTAGGCTTTAGATTTAAGAGTCTATAGATTAGATCTAGTCCATTCAGGCCAGCAAGAAACCAGCCATGAACATCAGGGCAAGTGGTTATTGGGGTTTCACACTAGGTGTGCAGAAGGCAAGACCTACAGGATGTGACACAAGTCCAGGCCATTATGTGGCATGCTTAGGGAGAGGGGCCAAAGGCCAATGACTTGACACAATTGCAACACGCAGTGTAAGAATTTAAAATTGCACACACATCCCAGAATTCTCTAGTCCCCTTCCCCGTCCAACTTCATTAGACTTCTTACCATCTGACTTATGTTTTATTTTTATTTATTTATTTGAGAGAGAGAGAGCGAGCACGAGTGGGGTTAGGGGCAGAGGGAGAAGCAGACTCCCCGCTGAGCAGAGAGCCAGATGCTGGGCTCTATCTCAGGACCCTGGGATCATGACCTCAGCCGGAGGCAGACCCTTAACTGACTGAGCCACCCAGGCGCCCATGACTTATGTTATTTATTTATTTTTTTTAAAGATTTTATTTATTTATCTGAGACAGAGAGAATGAGAGAGACAGAGAGCACATGAGAGGGGGGGAGGGTCAGAGGGAGAAGCAGGCTCCCTGCGGGGCAGGGAGCCCGCGGGACTCGATCCTGGGACTCCAGGATCATGACCTGAGCCGAAGGCAGTCGCTTAACCAACTGAGCCACCCAGGCGCCCCCATGACTATGTTTTAAGTAAAACATAATCTTTTTGTTTCTCTTCCCACTAGAAGAGGAATTTTTGTCTGTTTTTGTTTACTGCTGTATCCACAGTGCTTCATACAATGCCAGGCAGATAGTAGAAACTCTAATATTTATTGAATGGATGGATAAAGAAGGGATATGAAACACCTAACACTGCTCACTCACTTTCTTGCTCCCTTAATATTAAGTCCCTAACTTTCGCTTTGAAACAAAATACGCTGTTCTATTTTAAGGGCTCCCAGTAGAGATCCACTGAAATCCATCCTGTTAGGAAGTGACCAGCAAACACTGACATTACATCTGTCTCAATTAATTGCATCAAAGTCAGTGTCAGCACATCAGCCTTCCCCATACCTTGTAGAAGTTTTTGGAATTTAGAACAACACAGTACAAATTATAGGTAGACTTTAGGATTAGTCACAACTTAGAAAGCTGCTCCTGTATACGAGAACTACATTTTGTTGTTAGTGTTGTTTCCTTCTCAAATAACCAGGGTCATCAAAACAGTGGACATTCAAAATGCTAAATATTGATAATACTGATTACAGCCTGCCTTCAGCCATCTCACTCTGAATTGAGTCATGTGGTATGACCAGAGGCTGAGCTTTCCTTGTGGTTTTCCAGAAGCAGGTGACATGTAGACATGTTGAGTGGTTAAGACCACAGGGTCTGGGTTGGGGTGCCTGGGTGGCTCAGTCGTTAAGTGTCTGCCTTCGGCTCAGGTCATGATCTCAGGGTCCTGGGATCGAGCCCCACATTGGACTCCCTGCTCGGCGGGAAGCCTGCTTCTCCCTCTCCCACTCCCCCTGCTTGTGTTCCCTCTCTCGCTGTGTCTCTCTCTGTCAAATAAATAAATAAAATCTTTAAAAAAAAAAAAAAAAAGACCACAGGGTCTGGGGTCAGACTCACCTGGCTTTGAATCCTGGCTTCGATGCTTACTAGCTGCACAAACCTGGGTGACTTACTTAACCTCTTTGAACTTATTTCATTATCTATTGCCACATGATGTGAGTTGTTGTGGGTTAAAATAGATCTAAGTATTTGGCAATTATGACTGATGCATAGTTAGTGTTCAAAAATTGGTAATCATATTCATTCTGGAAAGCCAAAACAAAGTCATAATCAAGTATTCTATGAAGCACAGAAATAATAAAATTGTTTTCTGCAGTGACATCCACTGTGACTCAGGTTCCAAAGCTTTCCAAAAATAGCTTTCCAAAATTCTTATGTGCCAGGCATAGTGCTAGGCAGTATTGTTGACATATGCATAAGACATATTCCTGTCCTCCAGAGACTCCCAGTCTTGTGGGATAAACAGCCAAGTAAATAATTATCACTCACTGTGACTGTGCGGGCCTCAGTTCAGCCTTTTCTCTTACCGCCTACTCGTAGGATCCATGTTTAAGCAACAGTCTGGGGCCTCAGAAGGGACAGACTGGACCACTGGCATCCCTGGGCATCATTAAAAAAAAAAAAAAAAAAGATTTATTTATTTATTTTAGGTGGGGAGGGGCAGAGGAAGAGGAAGAGAGAATCCTCAAACAGACTCCCTGCTGAGCGGGGAGGCCCACATGGGACCTTGAATCCCAGGACCCTGGGATCATGACCTAAGCCAAAATCAAGAATCGGATGCTTAACTGACTGAGCCATCCAGGCGCCCGACTATTTTCTTTTTATAAACTATGAACACCAAGTCAATAGCTCATTCTATACACAGAGCAAACATTTAAGTACTTAATATACAAATATTTAAATGATGCCCAGCTGGGCACCTGGTGTCTTAGGGTCCAAGATTCTGTGCGACTAAGCCCCAAGCTGAGTCGGGCTCTGCGCTGGGTGTGGAGCCTGCTCAAGATTCTCTCTCTCCCTCTCCCTCTGCCCCTCCCCTGCCTCTCTCTCTGAAAAAAAAAAAAAAAGAAAGAAAAGAAAATATAGTCAACCCCAACTCACAGGCTGTTATAAAGTTGGATATTAGGCCCTCAACATGGTGGTAATACTCTAAGAGCTCAAGACCTACCAGCTGCTTCATTCTTGTTCTTGTTAACAGTATGGCTCTCTGTCTCTTCAAAAGGATACTAGAAAGGATCACTAGAATTTACAATTAAGGAAAGGAAGCAACATACCTGTGTATAGCATGCTATCATTTGTGTTAAAGAGTAAACGAAGGGGCGCCTGGGTGGCTCAGTCAGTTAAATGTCTGCCTTCGGCTCAGGTCATGAGCCCAGGGTCCTGGGGTGGAGCCCCAAGTTGGGCTCACTGCTTGGTGGGGGGAGTCAGCTCCTCCCTCTGCCCCTCCCCCCTGCTCATGCTCTTTCTCTCTCTTTCTCTCTCAAATAAATAAAATCTTAAAATATAGGGTGCCTGGGTGGCTCAGTCGTTAAGCGTCTGCCTTCGGCTCAGGTCATGATCCCAGGGTCCTGGGATCGAGCCCCGCATTGGGCTCCCTGCTCGGCGGGAAGCCAGCTTCTCCCTTACCCACTCCCTCTGCTTGTGTTCCTTCTCTCACTGTGTCTCTCTCTGTCAAATAAATAAAATATTAAAAAAAAAAAATCTTAAAATATATATATTTTTTAAAAGAGCGAATGAGGATAAAGATTTGCTATATTCACCTTTGCACTTGCCACAAAAAGCTCCTAACAGTACTTACCTATGTGTGCGTAGAGGGGGAGACTAGGAGCTAGAGAGAGGTTAATAACAGAAGAAAACTTTAAGGTATATATACACTCATATATATGTGAACATATATATATATATATGACATACAAATATATTCGAAGAGATTTTTTTAATTAAAAAATACTTTTTTCTAATAGTCAAGAAAAAGATGGGATAATGAGATGGCCCAGAAGCTGAGTGGGGAAATTAGCAGTCCTATAAGGACTGTAAATACCAGTGTAAATACCAGTCCTACAAGGACAGGGCCAAGGAAGAAGAGGCCCAGCTCAGTGCCTCAGCAGTAAAAATTGCTCCACAGAACTGAGAAGTGGCTATGCTCCAGTGAGCATTTAAAAATCCCATCTGAGCCCTTCCCTGCCTGCAAACATTCACTGAATCCCTATCAGCCTTAAAAGGAAGCCTTGGTTCCTTAGTGCTATAGTACCTCTTCTCCACACTCTGGCCCCAACACATCTTCCCCATTTTATCTCCGTCTTGTTAGCCCTTGGCTCTAGCCAACCTGGGCTAACCACACCCAAAACACCTTATCCAGGGTCACACTCGGACCCTCTAGCCACCACAGATGGCTGTGCTTTCTATGTGTAGGTCTAAGGCAGCCTGTGGAGGGGAGGGGCAAGAGAGGATCAAATCTAGGCCAAGTTCTGCTAAACAAGCCAGCATTGAAGTGCATCATGGGTTGGGCTAGGAGGAAGGGGTGCTCTTCTGTGACTGGTCTGCCCACAAGGAGGTCTTATTGTACACTTGCACAAAAGCAGCCCCTGGCATTTGCTTCATACCATTCTCCTCTGCCTTTAATGACCTCCTTACCATTCCAAACTCCCATCTAACTTTGCGCTTCTTCATAAAACCTCCGGAAGCCACTACAACTCCATAGTGACTCCCTCTCCCTTTAAATCCGTGCAATTCACTGCCATCTAAGCAGAACACTATAGCTTTGTGTTGCTGGGGGTTGTTTTGGTTGCTATTTAATTTTTATTTTTATGTGAGTATGTTTTAAGCCCCAACTAGCTTGTAAGCTCATTGAAGATAGGACAAACATTTTTTGGATTCCTCCAAATTTCCCAGGAGAGTGTCATTCACTCAGCAGGTGATCAGTAAACATTTGTGGAACAAACCTTATATACAAATAACATCTCAAGCAAGAGTCAGTCTCAGGGAATTTACTGGTACAGCAAGAGGGAGCAGGAAGGAAAGGCAGCTTCAGGAATTGGACCTGGCACAAGACCTCTGATGTAAGAAATCTTAAGAGTATGAAAGGACCACCAAGACAACATCAGTGTCTTGATTTTTAGTTTCTTTTCTCTGCTTCTAGTTACCATGAAAACAGGATTCCTTTCCAAGCAGGGTCTTCAGATCCTAGCAATCGCTGTCAGGGCTAGGGACCAGCATCGTTCATTTCCTTATCCAGCTCCTAATAACATACATTTTTAAAGTTTATGCATTTATTAGAATGAGTAGATAACTGGCTTGGTTATCAGATTGGCTTGTATTTCCCTTTGTCATCTAAAGGACAGATTGCTGCATTATCAAGTGATGCTGTAAGTGTCAGAGTAAGATATTTGCCACAAAGTTATTTTGGGAAATATTTTCTGTGCCTGTTTTTCAGAACGTTGCAATGGCCAGTTTTTTTCCTGTTTGAGCTTTACCTGACCTTAAAAACTGTCAAGGGCAGATGTAGTCCACTTCCTGTTCTAGAAGATTTCCACTGGTCAGATCGCTTTTCCTCTGTGTTGCTGCCTAGCTTACTACCTCCCCCTTCATGAGGCTGCATCTCTACAGGATCTGCTGATCTTGCAGTTGCCCTTCAGGTCATCGATTGCTGCTTTAGCAATAACAAGGGCAACAGTTTTGATCATGGTCATTTCCAGTTTACGTTCCCCTTTTTAAAAGAATTATGCACATTTCAAATATTTTAACCAGGCTTATGGAGAAGCCTTTCTATTTCACAATCCAACCAAAGAGAAGACAAAAAAATTCAGTATAAGCTAGATATCTGGTTTCAAGTAAATTCTCTGCAAAGGACTCCATTTAGGCTATGAATAAAATTCAATTATGTGTATTTTGTGCCCTATTCTCAATTTTTAATACCTTATCTTACCCTCCTTCATGACCGCAGCCAGGCTGTTATCTCCTGGCTCTTCTTTTTCCTCATTAGCTCAGCTATTGTTTCTTCAAAATATGTCTTCTTTACCTGATAGCCTATTTGGAAGAAAGGACAACCTTAAGACCCAAGGTGGACTCCTCTTTGGGAACAGAAACAACGTAAGAATATGAAGCAGGTTCTGCAGCTGCATTGCAATGTGACTGGAATGAGTAATAGCTTTTCATTCTGTCTAGCATCTTGCTCCACCTACCGAATGGGAGACAGTGCCATCTCCGCTCCTGGTGATATTACGACACATCCACAAAAATTCATAAAGCACCTTGCAGAGTGGGCCTATCCACATTGTGGTTTTCACTTTTCATTGGCGTCACACACACACAGGCCGAAACGCATCAGACAATAGACATCCGCTCTGGAATTTATGGGAAAGACATACTCCAGCTAATGGAAGCAAAAGAAACTAATATCGTTAAAACACATAATCCGCCGCGCCTGAAGCATTCACAAAGAGTTGTAAAGAGACACTAACCTGCAGGACCCCCTCCCACTTCGGCCGCAGTGGTGGGCGGAGCTTGATACTTGGCCACGCCTCTTGCGTCTCGTTCCCGGAGAGGCACGGCCCACCCCGGCCTCCCGCGCGGACGCAGCGTGAAGCCAGTTTTGCCCCTCCTTCCCCGCAGGAGCGCGGAGGGACAGTTCTTGCGCTTGCGCCTTGCGTCGCTGGGCGCCTAGGCGCGACCGCCGCCCGCCCGAGAGCCTTTTGTGCGCCTGCGCGCTCGCGCTCCCGCCCTCTAGCTGCGCTCGGCTGAGTCAGTCAGTCTGTCGGAGTCTGTCCTCGGAGCAGGAGGAGCGGAGGGTCTTCTGAGAGCTTGCTGCTCGATTATTTTCTTTCCCCTCCCTCTCTCCCGCCCCGCATCTCTCTTCACCCCTTTCCTGCCCTTGCTCGCGCAGCCATGGCGGAGCCGTCGGCGGCCACTCAGTCCCCGTCCGTTTCCTCGTCGTCCTCCGGGGCCGAACCCTCGGCGCCCGGCGGCGGGAGCCCTGGATCCTGCCCCGCCCTGGGGGCGAAGAGCTGCGGCTCCTCCTGTGCGGGTGAGGCGCGCGGGGGAACCCCGCCTTCGAGGGGCTTGTTTTGGGGGTCGGGGAAGGCAGATCACCCTCGCCTACTGGAGGCTTCAGCCCCCGGGAACGAGCGTCTGGAAAATGGGCTAAGGGGGAGGGGAGCGTAAGGTGGTGCAGACGGTGAGGAAATAACGGGGTGTGAGGCAAACAGGTTGGAGGCGGGGAGATATTCTAGGGAGTGGGCGTTAACGCCGAGGCAGGGTAGGTGGGGGAAAACAGCAGTTTGGGGGAGCCGTCCGCTGAACCGGGGTTTAGTGGAGGATTAGAGAGATTGAGAGGATTGGGGCAGATTGGTTGTAGGAGAAAGAACTAGTTACGATTTTGAGGGGATGATGGTGAAAGGGTTGCATTGCAGGTTTGCGGACAGATGTTGACATAATCAGAAATTCATGGTAGTCTTGCAAAAAAATTTTTTTTTGGTTTCCCGTGGGGAGGATCAGGAAGTTTCATGGAAACATGGTAGCCGTTTTCTATACCCTTTTTATCTGCTTGCTTTTGTGTGTGTGTGTGTGTGTGTGTGTGTGTGGCTAGACTCTCTAAATGCCCGCTTTTTTGAGGCTCTGAGGTAAGAGGAGGCGTGATGAGAATAGCTCAGGAAGATTTGGGAGGGAGCAGCTGATGGTCCAAGATGGATCCGTGGCTGCATCTGCAACACCGCCTGCTCTTCACTGGCGCGCCGTGGGGGTGGGAACAAGCAATCAGTTGCTTATATTCTAGAAGATAATAAGAGTCACGCCAAGCCATTAACAAACACATTTTGATTTCATGCTCTCTATGGGCTATTATCGATCCCAGTGTAACAAAAGGGGGTGTTTAGCGCAGAAAGGGGGAGGGGGAGAAAAATTAGACAAAGCAGGAGCTGGTTGAACCCCATTCTCCTATCTCTGTGAAAGACTAGGAGGGAAGCTGCAGGCCGCTTTTAGTTTCCATTGTATACGCGTTTGCCTGCTGGTGGGAGCTGGCTGGCAAGCTCAAGCTCCCCTCATGCAGAGATCTGCAGTGCAGATGCCTTCTTGAGGGGGAAAAAAAAAATGCACCCTGGGCAGGTGGTGGTTCTTAAAGGAACGCAGTCTTTGAAGAAAAGAAAAAAACCTTTTTGTCAAAAGAAGTGGGCCATAAGCCCGGGAGAGTACAGATAATTTTGCCCTGTATTTAGTTACCTTAAAGGATTTTGAGGGGTTTTAAAATACTTCACCGTCTCCTTTGCCAGAATCTCAGGTTGATGTAAGGAATGTAGAATTTCTGATCTTCACTTTAAATACATTCTCTAGGTGTTGGGTTTTTGTTTTGTTTTAATTAATGTCTACACCCAAGGTGGGGCTCAAACTCACAACCCCGAGATCAAGAGTTGGATGCTCCACCAACTGAGCCAGCCAGGTGCCCCTTTTTCTGTAGGTGTTTTTTGAACAGTGGATTTCCACATAAGAGCTTTGGTACCCTTTTGGATTTTCCACTGTGGTTTTGGCCATTTCAGTAGAAACAGTATCAAAGGAAGCTTCTGCAAGGTCAAGATTAGCTGTCCAGATAAAGGAATGAGGCTGCAAATTTAGAACTCTTTTTCCCTTTAAACCACCAGCGTTTCTCCTCCAAATTTTTGTGTTCTGGGCAAAGGTCCAGATGAACAGCAGTTTCCCTATAACTTAGCAACTTGGTGTTTTGGATTTAACCACTTGTCATTGCTTACCGTTTGGTTGTTGGCCCTTTTGTACATAGCTTTTGATACTTCTTGATTTTAAATTTTTGATTCACCTGAAAAATACTTTGTCTTAAATTCTTATCTATTGTAGATGTGTATTAATATTATCTAAAAAGGCATTAATACAGTTTTGGTGGGCCTCATTTGTCAGGTCACTACTTGAAAAGTTTAGCTTAAGATACTGCAATGTGTAGTTATCATTCCATTGGAGAAGCTCTTCCCCTTGCAGAATATTTTCTCCATACCTCATAGGAAATGTCGTAGGCTTCTGCACTATGAAAATAAGATGAAGCTTGTTACTCCACAATTTAACCTATTTAAAATGGATATTTAAAAATCTGTCTTGATTGCTTAAAATCTACAAGTGTTGATGTCAACCTTCAGCTTCACATTCTTTCACCAAGCTCCGCTTGGTTTTAGAGACTTTCAAAAAGTAAAAGAAGTGGTCGATTGATGTCCTGCAGGAAAAAGTTTTGTCTTGATTGACCTATCCAGTAACAGCTTTCAGAAATATTAGTTCCTACTAAAGGTAGAGAATGAGTGATCGCACTCCCTGGTCTAGTGCCTCAGGGACTGGTGCAGCCAGCATTGTAATATGCTTGGAGAAGGAGGTCAAGTGCCAGAATTGGCTTTCCAGATTTCTGCCTTTGAAGAAAATCAAAGATCTCAAAGGCAGAAAATTGAGATTAAGGTAAAAGAAACTTAAATATTTGGTGTTCTTTTCAGGAGGAGAATTGCCTTTATTAGGCATCAAGTATAGGTACATGTCTGTTGTCTGAACTTTAGAAGTTTACTGTTTTTATAGCATTTGAAATTCTGTAACTTGCCAGCGACTGTTCTTTATTATTGCTATGAAAATCATGATGCCAGAATAAAGCTGCATTTCTTTTCTCTGTTCATGGAAATTAAGTCAAAGCAAAAACAGCTTGCACAATTAAAAAAAAAAAGTTTTTGCTTTATACTTACTTTCCTTACTCATGAAACCTAGTTGTCCTGTGTAGTTTTTATGGCACCATTTCACACTCTGTCCTATCATGTCAATCAAATGTGAGTATGTAATTTGCATTTTTTGTCTTAACCCTTAGAAATCTACTTGTTCAGCACTGACATTATTATATTCGTGTCAGATTGTCAGTGGCAGTATAACATGGTGATAAACACACAGATTTGAGCTCCAGAGGCACAAAGATTTCAAGCCTAATTCTGTCTCTTAATTGTATGACCTTGTGCATATCATGAGCCTCAGCAATATGACCTAGGCAAATTTGCTTTGTGCCCTAAAATCTGAACTCTTATTGAGTAAAAATACCTAATATTTGATATATCTGTTTGCAGGTTACAAACTATTTGCACATACATACAAAATAGCAATTGAATTACAAGTGAGAAATCATAATCTTCCTCAAGATGAAGTAAGATCTGATAGGACTTCTTCTTTTTAAAAGTGAATCTATTTCAGCTTTTGACCTTTCACGTTAATGTCTTAAAGCTACCAGCCCTTTCATTCAGCTAATCTGTTAGAAGGGAGGTGGGGGGTAGCCAAAGTGTTTTGTAGATAGCTTGACGTGAACCAATATGCTAAAGTATTGGGGTGCCTGGCTGGCTCAGTGGAAAAAGCATGCGACTCTTGATCTTGGGGTGGTGAATTCAAGCACCATGTGGGGTGTAGAGATTACTTAAGTAAATAAATGTTTAAAAAAGATATGCCTAAGTATTGTCTGCAGCATTCTAACCATAAGTGTAGTTCTGATGCACTATGAACCTGCTGTCACTGGAAGCAAGAGTACAGGAGACAGCAAGAATGGTCGTGTCAATATAGTTTACATTTGCCTGTTGAGTTGGATGGTTTTTTTGTTTCCCGGAAACAAAAAAGGGTTCTTTTAATGCTTTTTTCCTCTTAGAGTCACATTCACAAATAATTTAACCATTCTGATTGAACAAACCAGTCTCATACATTTGACAGGTATACCTTAATCTTAAATTGAAATCTCTAGAGGATTGTTTATTAAATTGCTGGTAAGTGCATCATTTTTAATTTTTATGATTTTAGAGATGGTCTGAAAACAAAACAAAATGAATATCATTGCTTTTATTGTATTCTGTGGTAAGGAAATTATATATTTGTCTTGATATAGGACTCACTGCTTTTACTGTATTCTCTGGTAAGGAAATTATATATTTGTCCAGATACAGGACTCACTGTTTTTGTTTTTGGGGGGGTGGGAAACGACTCACCTGTTTAATCCTGTTCATGTTTCAAGCACTTGTAAATGAAGTTTGGTAGTAAAGGAATTGGTGACATGTCATTGAAGTTTAGGGAAAGTTAAATTTTCCAGTTTTGTTTGAGGTTGTTTGTTGTATAGAAAAGTACTTCTCTTTAGTAGTAATCCTGGAACTTACCGTTTTTGTAATTCCAAGTGGAATTATAAAGGCTCCAAATAAATGAATAACTATGTGTATTTATTGTATGTACTTAGCTTATAGTTCGTGCTTGACTTTATTGTTAATGGTGAATTTATAACTGCCTCCTAAACTATATAAACTTGTGAAAAATATATAAATTTCGTAATAAAACTTTTTAGGTAAAAATTATCAAGTTGGCATTATGTTCATATAATTATCTCATTCAGAAGTTGCCCAGGAAACTGACTTACCTTTTATTCAGTTCATTTATAACAGCTGTTAATTCTAGAATTATTTTTGG